GACCCCTGTTCTTAACTACAGGCCAGAAAATGGCCCACCCAGCTTGGTCCCACAGAAAATTCTGAACTTACTCTGTAACCATCCCAAACTGCTTCCAGCCACAGTCTGGGAGAGGTCCTGTTCTTCAAAAGGCCTGGAGGAAGATACTGGTTTATAGCCATGCAGACCTTTACTGTGGACCCTGAAGCAGTTCAGTGACTGTTCCAGCTCCCTAAGCCACGGTTTATGGCCAGTTCTGCCTAATTAGAAACCCACACAGTTACCTGGGGAAATCCTCTCTGATACTCAGTGAAAGCCACACTCATCCACATCCTAATATAAAGCCCACCATATGCAGACCCGACTACAAAAACCTGCCCTAGTGTCTGCCCTACAGACGAAAGTCCTGAAGGATATTTACTCTGTCCAAAAATAAAATGGAAATTACAACTACCCAAGCTCCTTGTAACAAGCCAACTAAAGGTGGACCCTAGTGCAGACCCACCAGCCTTGTGACCAAGCTATGACCCCTCTCCACTACAGGCTAGGCATGGTGGCTCATGCCTGTAATCCCAACAATTTGGGAGGCTGAGGCAGACAGATCACCTGAGGTCAGGAGTTTGAGACCAATCTGGCCAAACACAGTGAAACCCTGTCTCTACTAAAAACACAAAAATTAGCCAGGTGTGGTGGCACGCGCCTGTAATCCCATCTACTTGGGAGACTGAGACAGGAGGCAGAGGTTGCAGTGAGCCAAGATCGTGCCACTGCACTCCAGCTTGGGCGACAGAGCAAGACTCTGTCTTTAAAAAAAAAAAAGCCATGGTATCCAAAGTGATCTATAAATTAAATAAACTTTCTGTCAAAATTCTAGTGGGATTTTTTTTCACAGTAATGCAGTAATGGACAATGCAATTCTAAAATATACATGGAACTAGAATAAACTTTGAACAAAGCAAACTTGAGGAAAAAGAACAAAGCAAAGAAACATCATAATTCATAATTTCAAATTATTTAAAGGCTATAGTAATAAAACAGGATGAATTGTGCAGAAAATATACAAAGAAATCCAAAGGAATAGAAAGCACTTCTCACGTATTTCAGACATGAAGCAAAGAAATAACTTAAAAAATAGTTTAATATAGAGTTTCTCAAAAGCATACAGATACTTGTGTGTCCCCCAAAAGAATGGAAAAGCAGTCAGACTGTGCAGTCTCTTAAATGTCATGAAGAGGACTTTGGCTCTCATGGTAAACTTGAAAGAAGATCACCAAAGGGAAATAAGAATCCTGAGAGAATTTAAAAGCATAAGACAGAAGATGCTCCTATGTGAAAGCAAAATGAAAAAACTCAGGCTTCCCAGAAATTGTTTCCTTTGGAACACAGCTTCCCAAGTCACATTTTAAGGACTGGTTTTCCCCTTAACTTTTGGACCTATCATCTGTGTTTGTTGTATTCACTTTCACTTTCACCTACCTGAGGGTTTGGCTACCATTTCATGTCTCCTCATAGGCTCCCAAGGCTCTTTTTCTTGCTCCAGACAGGTGATCAGGTCTGGTTTAGAGACAGCAATACCTGTTTCAATAAAAAATAAACTACATGAATCTTGCTCATATTCTCCAATTATTAACCTAGCAATGTGTCCAGTATGAAGGGTGTGATAGAATATCCTAATCATTAATCCCAAAATACTAATTTTTCTTTGGAGATGGAGTCTCAATCTGTCACCAAGGTTGGAGTACAGTGGTGCGATCTCGGCTCACTGCAATCTCCATCTCCGGGGTTCAAGCAATTCCAATGCCTCAGCCTCCCAAGTAGCTGGGATTACAGGTGTGTGCCACCATGCCTGATCAATTTTTGTATTTTTAGTAGCGACAGGGTTTTGCCATGTTGGTCAGGTTGGTCTCAAACTCCTGACCTCAGGGTGATCCGCCTGCCTTGGACTACCAAAGTGCTGGGATTACAGGTATGAGCCACCGTACCTGGCCCCAAAATACTAATTATTAACAAAAATTTCTTTTTGTTTGAGACAGAGTCTCACTCTGTTGCCCAGACTGGAGTGCAGTGGCACAATCTCGGCTCACTGCAACCTCCACCTCTCGGGTTCAAGTCATTCTCCTGCCTCAGACTCCTGAGTAGCTGGGATTACCGGCATGAACCACCACACCTGGCTAATTTTTGCATTTTTAGTAAAGATGGGGTTTTGCCATGTTGGTCAGGATGATCTGCCTGCCTCGGCCTCCCAGAGTACTGGGATTACAGGAGTGAGGTACCATGCCTGGCCTTTAACAAAAATTTCTAAATATTTAGAAAGTATCTTATTTTGTATTTCACTACCTGGTAATACTGAATCAAAAATTAGTGTTGGCAATTAGATTTTAAGTTGTGGGCAAAAATATTTTATGCCACTTAATTTCTGGAATTACTACTATTCTGGAGTGAAAGATACAGATCAGCTCAGAAATGTGGAAAGTTCAGGTCAAGATGAAATATCTTGAAAAAAATTATTTAGTGCACCAACAAATCCCCCCAGTTTTTTTGAAAACAGGAATCTGAAACTCATGCATGCAAAGTACAAATTACCAAAAAACAGTCTACAGAAAAAAAAAAATGAAAGATTTAGGGTGTATTAGGATTGAGTATTGAAGTTATGCTCACCCAGGAAGACCAGGTTTCTGTAGTTCTCTAACATCACATTCCTATATAAATTCTGCTGTGCAGTGTCCAGGCATTGCCATTCCTCCAGACAGAATTCTATGGCCACATCCATAAATGTCAATGGTCCCTAAAAAAACACACACACACACAAACACTCACATTTACCGAGTGGCCACTTGCAGAATTTATAATTTGACTCAAGGTAAAATGAGAGAGTAAAGAGAACAGGTTCTGACTTATAGAAGACACTGAAATTATCCAATAAAATAATTCTCTACATGGAAATATTCTCCA